ATTTAACAACTTCGCTATCTTTGCTGCAGTGTATGTAGAAGGTGCACAGGGCTGGGGATTTAGCTCAGTGGTTTCGCTGCCTGCTGTGCAAGTGCAAGGACCCGAGTTCAATCCCCAGTACCAAAAAAACCAAAAAATAAAAGCTAGTACCATGGCACTAGGGGTATAGTTCTGAGGTAGAGTGGTTCTTAGCATGTGTGAGGCTTCTTTCTATCTCCAGTACCACACACATACAAAATGTGGAAAGGGATTACCAAAATCACTACCAACAGACTAAGATGTTCTGTGGTAGTATGTTATATTGGTGGTACAATGTTACATTGGTGGCACAATGAACAATGGCTTTGAATATTGGAAGGTACATTGGCACAGTCCCTTCTCCTTGAATCCAGACTGATCCTTTAATTTGCTTTAACCCGAAGAACATGGTGAAAGTGCCAGTCCTGAAACTAAGCTTAAAGAAGTCTAGCAGTTTCCATTTTCACCTTTTTGGAAATGTTGAACCAATGTGTAAGTGTGGCTATTCTGCTAGAGAGAGTATGAAAAGAAGTCATATGGAGAGGGAGAAAAGCTGAGACTACAGAAGAGAGCAGGCTCTTTCAGCTGAGCAAGCTGATGCTAGGCCCACTGGCAAGGACAGCAGAATGGCTGATTTAATGACAGCCTGGATTGCAAAACTGTGAGTAAATAAGATGATTGTTGTTTTGACTCACACATTTTAGGATGGTTTGTTACACAGCAAATAATGAAAACACCTCCTCAGCTTTCCATTGGTGACTTCTGCATAAAACTCAAGTCTCCATTCCTTATTCCCTGTTTCCCACTTTTATGGCAACAATTTTCCAGAAGATTTTATATTAATTACTAGGTCCTGAGCAAGCCCCCCTCCTTTTTTCAAGACAGGATCTCTCTATGTAGTTCAGGCTGGCTTTGAACTATGTAGCCCAGGCTGGCCTTGAACTCTCAGTGATCCTCCTAACTCACTCAGCCTTCCAAGGGCTGGGATTACAAGTGTGTACTATCATGCCTGGCTACCATTTTTGTTCTGTTTTGTATTTGTGGTGCAGGGGATGGAACACAAGGACTTGTGCATGCTAAAACACATGTTCTACCATTGAACTATACCCCCAACCTCCCCAACCCATTTTTTTTTTTTGCTTAAATTCTTTTATTGGTACATTTTAGGTATACAGTACGTTCACATTTATCGTTGTATGCTTCTACCTGTACATGATGTATCTTGGTTCTTACTTTTTCCCCATTCCCTGTGTTCCCTTCCCTACTTACAAAGACTTTGTTTCCATTTTTTCATTTTCTCATAATTTTTCCTTTCCCTTCTCCCCCCCCCGCCCCACTTCCCTTACCCCTTTGGACCTTTCCTTCCTATTTCAAATCATCAATTATTCATTTTAATCATTTAAATCCTTATTTACACTTTCAGTTTCTCACACTAGAGAAACTATTCAGTATTTACACGTGTGTCCTATTTATTTCACTTAAGAGTATGTCCTCAAT